AAAATGATGGAATTGAGCTACCTTCTTATTTGGCTGTCCATTTGTTTCTTCCTTACTTTATACATAAATTAAAAATATTTTCGTTGAAATAAAATAAACATTAATAATATTTAATTTTTAAACAATACGTGAAAAAAATCTTAATGTGCAGGACCATTAGACCAATATTTTTATTAAACCTGGAAATATAACAGGGTTGCCACGAAATACTGATTTTAAAATATTAAAACCATTTTATTCAACAAAATTTAATTTGTAATTAAATTATGATATTCTTTTTGTATATTTTTGAAATTTATAGTATTCTCTAAGTTTTTAAATCTTATGGAAATTAGAAAATGTAACAAGACAATTTCTTGTCTTTAAAAATGAGCAATTAAAATTCGTTTTTTGAAAAAATTGAAAGAACCCCGCACCGCTTGCATGAGAAATTTGGGTTAGGTGAAATTTCTTTAAACTTCGTAATTTTGTACCTTTCGACCTCCTAAACAAGAAATGTTAATGTCTACATTCAAAAAAATGGACTGATTTTTTGGTAAGATTTAAGTTTAAAACATAGTTTTTTCGCTTTTAAAAATGTTTTTTTAAACTTAAAACTTAATCAACAAAAAATCTGTACATTGTTTTCAATTTTTCCATTAAATTTTTATTCAGAAGGTCAAAATTTTCTATGTATGCGATGCGGGGTTCTTTTGAATTATCAAAAATCTTGCAGCCTTTGTAGTTCTCAAGAAAAACAGCTGGTCTATGACGAATTCGTGAATTTTTTTCGGAAATGATACTGTGAGTTTCAAAGTCAGGGATTAGAAGAGATTTATTTACTTTTTGTTCCTAAAATAAATCGCAATAAATAATTTTTGCCTATTTCAGTTATTGCTGCTTCTTCTTTTTGTTTTGAGTTTAAGTCATATGTTATTGTATATTTATGCATTAGCGACGTCTTGACCTAATTTTACATTATGTTCTATTAATAATTAATGACCCTAATAGGAAGTGTCATTTATGAGAGGTAACACATGTGAGTTTTATTCTACTAATTTAAGGAGGATATAGCGGAAATACAAAGTTTTTGTTTTTTAACAATTAACATTGAGTCTTATGGGAATTGAGTACTTTCTCATACATATTTACTCACCACAAAGTAATTAACATTTGAAAATTGATGAAACTTTTCTTAATACAAAACAGATATATGGGTACGTCCGCATGAAAAGGGACCACTTTGTCGATTACAATAAGGATTATATCATAGTTTCAATTAGGTTCGTTACAAAGTAAAAATAATTTTTATAATGGTTCTACTTTGTCCCTACCTGAAGAAATAAAATGAAATCTTTGACACATCCACGGATTCGTCTTGGTTTAAAGAAGGTTAAAAATGGATTTTTGGTGGCTAAATGTTTTAACAGTTTCTATTATGATTATTAATTGTATATTCAACATGGTGTGAACTTGGTTTTATACGGGTTAAAAACTTCCCAGATAGCACGGAAACTTGCAGCAAGCTTGTCTGAGCTAGCGAAATGTCCCACTCAGGACAAGCTTGCCGTGAAAGCTTGCTGTAAGCTTTCCAGGAAAGGTTGCTGCAATCTTGCCATGAAAGATTGCTACAAGATTGCTGCAAGCATACTAAGAATGATTGCGGCAAGGTTGCCGTGAAAGATTGCTGTAAGCTTGCTACGTAAAGTTGCAGGAGAATTTCAACAAGCTTCTGGAAAGGTTGCTGCAAGCTTACTGAAATTTTTAAAAAATACATTTTAAATTTTAAAAAAAAATATTTGTTTTTTTTAAATTTGAAAATCCTTGTGACGTTTATTATTATTAATTATGTCCTGTTTATTTTCATTTGGAAACTTAACGAGAAAATTTTCGAAACAAATTTGAGGGGACTGGGAATTGAACCCGGGTTCGACAGACACAACCTTTCCTGGAAAGCTTACAGCAAGATTTCACGGCAAGCTTGCCCTGGGTGGGACATTTCGCTAGCTCAGACAAGCTTGCGCGGCAAGCTTAACTTGCCGCAAGCTTGCTGCAAGTTTCCGTGCTATCTGGGTTATTTCAGTTCTTAAGCAGGCCATTAATTGGGTTTCAATATGGTTCTTATAAGAAGACAAGTTAAAATAAAACGTTTATCGCATTTTTATATATTGCTAAAGTGATACATAATTTTCAATGGTTTTTATACTGGTTAATTCGGAGTAAAAACATGTCAAAAACCTGGTACGTTTTCGTATAGGACCCTGTAGAAGACAAATTTTACACGAATTTTACCTGATTTTTATCAGTTTTTTTCGCTAGGTAATAAACACTTATCACATTTCTTATTGCATTTGTAGGTTTCATAAAAAATGAATCATAAGCATAAAAGCTTCTTGAACCTTAGTTCGAGGCAAAAAAGAAGAAGATTATCTGGGTTTCGTGGAAGAGTTGCTAGAAATGATTATTCTGAATCAGAAAGCAGTGCTGATGAAGTAATTTCTAACGTCGGGAATGTTAATGTAAACATGGAAAATGAAATATGGTCAGCGAGTGAGGAAAATGAAGACGTTAGAAGCATTTATGATTCTGAAGATGTTCAATCCGAAAATTTTGAAGATTCCGAAGAACCTGAAGATCCTGATTGTCCTGAAGATTCTGAAGATTCTGAAGATTCTGAAGATCCTGAAGATGCTGCAGAACATGAAGACCCTGAAGATCCTGTAGCTTTAAAAAGAAGGTTTTTAAAAAATGCATTTCTTGCCGCAGGGTTAAAACATACTCAAGGCAATATAATATTACGTACTTTGAGAGAGTTTCCATTTAATTTAATTTATTTACCGAAAGATACAAGGACTTTACTGAAAACTTCTACAGACGTTGCCAGTAGACGTATAGAACCAATTGCTGGTGGTGAATATCTGCATATTGGCCTAAAGTCAACTATGACTAAAAAATTGGAAAATCTGCCTGCTGATAAATTGCCAACAACAATTGAGATAGATTTCTCCACTGATGGTGCAAAAGTAGACAAAGGATTACATCAATTTTGGCCACATCAGTATCGGATATTAAACATCGGAGACAAGAGACCTATCATCGCAGGCATATATAAAGGAATAAACAAACCATTAAACCCATTCGACTTTTATGAAAAGTTTGTAACAGAGATTCGTGAAATTAGAGAAGAAGGTGGTATTCGAGTAAGAGAACAAATAATTCCAGTGAATGTTCGATGTTTTATAGCAGATGCACCTGCAAGAGCGTTTGCTTTGAACCATTTTGGACACGTATCTACAAATCCTTGTTCAAAGTGTAATGTAGAAGGTGATAATTCTAGTGGAACTATGGTTTTTACAAATTTAGATAACATCGAAAGAACAGATCAGGAATATCAGAATGCTAATGACGAAGACCATCATAAAGGTAGAAGTCCTTTATCTGAAGTTTTGGGATTAGTAACATGTGTTCCATTCGAAACTATGCATTTGGTATATTTAGGTGCGTGTAAAAAAATATTATCCGCAAAAGTAGATGGCAAATTTGGAAACCAAAAGTTATCAGGTAGACAAATAAATATACTTGATTTGAGAATGGAACAACTCTCAGTTTATTGCCCATCCGAATTTAACCGCAGGCCAAGAAAAATAAGTTTGTACAAACATTACAAAGCTACTGAATTCAGGCAAGTGTTGCTTTACACTGCGCCAGCCGTTCTAAAAAATGTTTTCAATGAAGAAGCGTATTTACATTTCATAATGCTCCACTCATCTATGCGGCTTCTTACTTCTGAAGAAACACCAAATGAAATGTATGCATTTTGTCGAGAATCTATACGAAGTTTTTTGACATTATGTCCACAACTTTATGGTCAAAAATTTTCGTCCTACAATATACACGGTTTGTCACACGTTGTAGATGATGTCGAAATATTAGGTCCATCAGAAAGTTACAGTGCATTTTGTTACGAGAATAATATGCCAACACTTCGAAAATTAGTTAGAAAACCACACTTGACTCTTCAACAAGTTCATAAGCGGTTGTCTGAATTAAACGATTGTTCTTCTTTACCTATTGACAACAACATTCTTATTCATCCTTCATTAGGTCATAGAGACGGACCTTTACCAGAAAACTTGCCAGCTCGACAAGTACTTCGACAGTTCAAAAAATTAAAAATAGGTGAAATTACATTAGCTGTGGCTTTACGTGATTGCTGTTGCGCTTTAACAGATTCAAGAATTTGTCTTATAGAAAATATTCTGAAAATTGAAGATGAATTTGTTCTTCTTGTTCGAGCATTTCAAAGGATTGAAGCAGCATACGACGTAGGATTAACATCTGATATCGTGGAAGTGTACCATTGCACGGATCTATCAGAAAATCTGGATACAGTAAATTTGAGACAAGTAAAAAGCAAAGTTTATAGGATGCCCCAATGGAGTGGAAAAGAAGGAGAAGAAGAACACATAGTAGAAAATCATTGGATTTGTGTCAATTTAATCACCAAAATAATTTTTCCACAAAATTAAATTACTGTTGGGACTGTAAGTAAATACACAAATTTAACTTAAAACACCTTGCTTAACAAAAAAAATTATTAATTATAATTTCTTTTTGGATGTGGTTTTTGAATGTTGTTTTTCTTTATACTTTAGTTCATATGCATTATCTATTAAACAATCATGGTATTCTTTCATTCATTTAATCTTCCTATTTTTTTCTGTTCACTTCAGAAGTTTCACGCATTGAGGTTTGCTTTTGTTTTTTATAGGTTTTTACACTGTAAAAAATTTAGGGAGTTAACGGCAATAGGAGTTGGGATTTCGATTTTTCAAGTTAAAAATCAACTCGAAAAAGGAGTTAATTAAGAGTTCAGTATCAACTCCCTTTTGAGTTATTTTAAAATGGAGGATCATATTCTCCAACTCGTGTAAGGAGTTAAAGTTGAACTTTTTAATCTGAACTCCCTTTGCTTTAACTCAATAGGTGGGACTTTTATAGCATCCCTTGAGGAGTGGAAATTCAACTCCTTTTTTACAGTGTACATTTCATAATATCATATATGAGAATGTTGTACTATTTGTGTTTTTTCTTCTTAAGAAATGCTGTAAATAAAATTTAATTTTTTTTATGATAGTGTTTTTTTAATTTATTTTTTTCATCTTAATTACCTACATACTTCAAATTAATAAAAATATCTTTTGTATGCATGCATCATGACGCTTTATAGTATCTATTTGATTAAATTAGCCACAATTTTCTTACTTTTATATAAACTAAATGTTTTTTTCAGAAAACATTTAATTTATTCAGTCCCTGTTTCTTGAGGATATAATTTGTTATATTCATTTTAGAATGGCTCATCTCGTCCAGTTAAAAGGCAAGGATCGGTCAGAAGCTAAAAGAAAAATAAGAACGACCAACAGTGGAAGGAGCATAAAAACCCCTTTAAAAATTTTAACGTCAGAGGAAGACGAGCCTCTGAGAAAGAAACCTTCTGTACAAATGGGGTTGGAATTACAAAAGTTGCGTGACCTTGCAGCCAAACGAGGGCTGTCAAGTGCACAGAATTCCACGCAGTCAAAAAAAGCGACAAAAACTACACATGTGCAGTAAGTAAATGTACAAGAAAAGGTAGTTTTTCCGATCACATAATTGCATAAATTTTTTTTAAGTCGAGTAAAACCCATCATAATATTGTGTTATTTTGAATTTCTAAACTTTTACAACATATTCTTATATCGGACAATTTTACATTGTTTTTATGTCGTTATATAATTTTCCACTTACTGCATATTTTCAAAATTGCCTAATTCATTTCGTTGAATACATTAATTCAATCATTAATATATTAAAAACGGTTTCAGCAATTCAAATTTATAAATCTTTAAATTCAAAATCTCCTCAATTTTAATTACTTTTAAAAATCTGGGCTACAGCTCTACCGAAATAAAATTATGTCATGACTTTCTTTTAAAAAAATTTTAAATTGTTATTAGAAACATACACGGGGAAAAGAGAAACATTGAACTAACACCATTTTCCGATTGATTTTATTTTACTGGGCTCTGTCACGATTTCGGCATTAATTCAACAGATTTTTCATGTTGAATGCTCTCTTCTCAAGAGTAAATCGGAAAACGGTGTTATTCCAATGTTTCTCTTTTCTCCGTATAAGAACATTGTGGCTTTAATTATAATTATTTTCTGTTTGTGTAGAATACACCAGGAACTTACTTCTGAACAAATTTCAATGGCCACAAAGTGTGTACCAAATGCAATAGAAAAAACTAGTGCAAGTAATAAAAATAATTCATCGCAGTCTAAATTCGGAGATAGTTCTGCAAAGCAAAGGTAATTGATAAAAAATATTTTTTATATCTACAACATAATTTTTGTTGAATCATTTTAATTTAAAAATGTGATAAATTTCAAAATTTCAATAATTTGCATAATCGTACTCTTGTGTCAGTTTGATTTTAAAATATTCTAAAAATTAACATTTAATAAATTATTAAATTTATTGAATGTCTAATAACAGTAATTTGTACAAATTAAATATTTATCAAATTTAATTTATTAGAATTATATTTATTTTTTGTTCATATAGTTCACATGCGAGTTCCAGTAGTCAATTGGATGATTTTATAATCACTGATCCATTCTCTACTATAACAGAGGAACCTATTTTAGTAGCCAACGATCTGGCAAATGAAATTGCTTCAATAATAGAGAAGAAAAGTAAAGTAAATCTCGAAACTATTGAAGAACGTTTAGGGTAAGTTCTTGTTTACTTAAAAAAATATTGTAAAAATTTATAGCCCTAAAGTTTTCTACGTTCAAATTCAAGTTTGAATTTTAAAACAAAATATGTGTACTAACGCGGTAAAAGGGACCTTACGGTCCAATAGCAAATTATACAGAACGGGGGATCAAAGAGAAGCAAAAAAATAATCGTTGCCTAAACTGCCTATGTTTGAATGTTTATAGAAAAAAGAGTATTAAAAGGAGATAATTTTTTATTTTTGAAAATTAAACAGTAACTCAAAAACTATCATTTTTCATATCTGAAAGTTAAAATCGACAAAAACTAACGTTCTGAGAAGAGCATTCCCACATGATTCAGAAAATGCAATACGGGATATATGCCTACATTTGAATGTTCATAATAAAAAATTAATTGAAGAAAATAATTTTAAGTTTTAGGAAATAAAAGAGGAATTAAATAAATTCACTTTATATTTCTCATTCAAATACAATAATTTTTGTTAAAATATCGAAACAGAGAAAAATTTCTTTCATTCAGATTTTAAAACGTTATAGACGTAATGATATAAAAACTTTCTTATTCAAAACGAACGAGAAGAAAATAATATTTTTAATATATCCATATAATTTCAGATTTCTTGAAAACGAATGCAAGCTGCTTCATGAAAAGCAGGACCAAATTTTAGCTCAAAATGAAAGAATAATGAATCAAAATGCTCAAATTCTTGAGCTTTTGCAAAAGGGTGTTTCTACGAATACCCAATTGCAAACTACATTATTCCAGCCACTTCAAGGACTACCTTTGAGTAATTTGGAAGATTATCACAAATTTATTTCTGAAGAGAATAATGATAGACTTGAAAGTGTGGTAAGTTTTTTGTTTCTTCAACGTTTTATTATCTCAATCTTATAAATGTTGCTTCCTCATGAGGAAGGTTTGAATTCGTGACGATTTTTAATTTTTAAAAAGAAAGTTATATGGACTCATTCTCATCTAGAATTAATATATTTGAAGTTCTGAGCAAATGTCCTTATGTATGTGTGGGTGTGTGTGTCACAAAATATTGTGTACAAATTATCTCAAAAACGTTTTAACGGATTGTCCTGAAATTTTGTATGCTTAATAGTCATTAATACCTAAAATCTGATACAAGGATTTCCTAATATATTTACAACATTTTTTTACAATTTTTTCAAAATTTGAAAATTTGTTTCACTGTAAATTTTATTTCGTTTGCTAAAAAACGTATCCTAATCAATCCGCGAATAAATTAACATGTATCCCTTAGACTTTAAGATTATTTCCGACTTTCTTTAAAATATAACTTTTATTGACTTCCTTTACGATATTTAAAACATTTTAATTTTTTTGTTTAATTATTGACTAAAATTCTTTTAAAAAAAGACATCAGCAATTCTAATTTGCAAACTTTTCAATTATATATTTCTTGAATTTTAATTAATTTTGAAAATTTTGATTGTATGTCTCCTAAAATTAAATTAATTTTTAAATATCTATTTATAGCTTTTCGTCAAGTTTTAATTATTAATAATAAGTTTAATGAATTACTTCTAAAACTAAATACAAACTTTTTTTATTAAAACATTTTTGACACTGAGATCTCATCTGTAGTTTGTAAAAAGAATTAATCAATTCATTTTTACAAAAAAATTTCAATTTAAAATCACTTGAAATTTATTTATTTTAAAAATATTAACTGTTAATTATCCAAAATTCAATTATTTTTACAATTAACTAGAATTTTTATCCAAGTTAATTATTATCAATAATATTTTTCAATTTTAATTAATAGTTTGTGTAAAATTTCTTCAATAAAGGTGTATAAATAAAATACTCATTATTTTAGCATAATCATTTGGTTCAAATTGGTGGAACAAAACTCAGAGAATTTTTGAACTATTCATTAAAACAACTTATGAAGGATGAATTAGTTTCACAATTCTCATGGCCTGGCAGCTCCAATAGTGAAAAATTTGGAGACACGAAGATTTCCAATCTTTTATATGGCAAGTTTGTTTTCAAATTGTAATATCATTCATATTTTTTTATTCATTTAAATTTTTTTACATTACAAAAAAAGTTATTTTTATAACTGATAAAAACTTCGTTTTTCTTCCTACTGTTCATAAAAATTGATTTTTTTATACATGTTAGAGTGGACCAAAAAATTTAAAATTATATAGGACACTGATCTCCAAATTTTATATAAATTAAAAAAGTTTCACGAATTTTTAAATTTTAAATGGAATAAATCATAAAAACATTGAAACAATAAAAAAACTACCATTTGTAAAATTTTACCTTGAAAATAAGCAGATCCTATTTCCGTCAAAGTGTGATTTTAAAGAATACAAAAATACTATTTATAAGACCAAAACAAAAAATTTAAAAACGACCTTAAGCAGAGAAAATTAATTTTTTTTCTTAAATTTTAATAAAAAATACTTTTAAAAAAATTAAATAATTTAGATTTCATACTGATAAAGTAGAGAAAATCCTTTCGAAAACCCTATAATAAAAGTGTAAATGAAAAAGTTTTACAAAAGTTATGTTAAGATGAATCTTAGAGAAATCGCCTGAGAGTTCAAATTTAAATTTTTAAAACTTTAAATACAAATCTTAATTTATAAATTTAATTTTTGCTATTGGGTCAGATAGTTTGGTGGTTGAATGTAGGTCCAATAGGACTATACTTTAGCCAATCATCAACTCAATCCTGAAATATTAATTTTTGGGGTGGGAACACTTGCCGAATTTTGCCCCATGAGTATTTGTAATATGGAATTATAAATTATCAAATTCCTATTAAAAATAATTTCATAAAGGTGGCTTTATTTTAAATTGAATTTTCATTCAACACAATTTCCAGTCATTAGAATTTGAATTAATCAAAATTCTCTTATAAAAAAAATTTAATCAGGATTACTACGATTCATTTAAACCTAAAAATACAGGGAATTTTATTTTGTAAATAAAAGACAGAGAAAAATTATAAAACATCTGGAATAAAATAAAGTCATAATTAATCTTAGAAATAAAGACATTTTGAGTAATCAAAGTGCCAAAGTAAAAATCGAGTCTAAAATAGCTTAAACAATTGCACTTCATACAACTACTGATTATCATAAACTAAGTTAATTAAATATTCTTGTGAAATAAATGTCAACTAAAAAAATTAAATTTTAATCAAGTTATTGTTAGTAACGAAAGAATATTAAAAATAAATTAATGTTAAAACAATATTTAATATGAAAAAAAACTGTACTATATTTTAATGAATTATGTATATTTAAGGAAGAATGGTATAGACAGTCGGAACAAAAGTTAGTCCGACTGTGTTTTTTGTATTTTTACAGAAAACGATAATTTTAATCATAAATGTGCTCTGGTCAAAAGTTTCAGAATTTAATTTTGAATATTTTAAACAATTAAAAATTGCAATTAAATAAAAATTACAAATTTTTTTTCATCGGAAACGTTTCTACATTTTTAGGTTATATTACCAAAATCTTTACCTATGAAAAAAAATTTTTTAATTTTTATTTAATTGCAATTTTTAATTGTTTAAAATATTCAAAATTAAATTCTGAAACTTTTTACCAGAGCACATTTATGATTAAAATTATCGATTTCTGTAAAAATACAAAAAACACAGTCGGACTAACTTTTGTTCCGACTGTCTATACCATTCTTCCTTAATAACTATTTTTTATATAAACGATAATTTTATCGAGTATAAAAAAAATTTCCACAAAAACCCATCAATTAATATCATACATTTTATTATTCTTTTCAGAATCATCGAAAAATTGTAAATCTTTCGTTGGACCTTTAGGCAAAACTGAGTTTAAAAATGAAATGCTTGAAGTTTTGCGGGTAACAAAGCAGCGATATAGAAATAATTTAAAAAAAGTAAATTCTAATATCGCAGAAAATATTCCAATTAACATGGAAGAAGAAAATCCAGATGATGAGGAATTATTGAGGCGAATTGAAGAACTCGAAAATTCTGAAATAATAAATTCAGATGAAAGAGAGGATTTTTCTGAGGATGAAGCTCTCTAATAGATTTGCCATATCTGACGAATTCTTGGAGAAAAGTACAGGTTTTTTTATTTGTTTTTCAATGTTATTTTCATGATGGGAACTATGTCTCTAAATCTGAATTAGTTAAAATATTGTTATTTAAATTAGTAGCACTCTTTGTGATATTTATTTACTTAGTAAATTAGAAAAGGTTTAATTGTTTAGTTATTGATAGAATAAGCATATTAATTATACAGAAATGGTTTTTGTTTTAATGAAATTTTTCTATTAAAAAAATAATTTGTTACAAACTATAATAACTTCCCTTGGTCGAGCGCGTCTAGGCGCAGTTCTCATGGTTGAAGGCAAAGGTAAAAAATTCGAATAAAAAATAATTTAATTTTATTTATATTGTGAATATAATATATAATGTGTATATAATATATAATTTAGTCATCTGTACATTCGTAACAGATTGAATTAGTCAGAAACTACACTCAATATCAACAAATTCAAGTTTAGAGAGCTTTGAACTATTTCAGTTAAATTTAAATGTGTTTCAATTATATTTTGGTTTAATATAGGTGACTAAAAATATTCTTCTTTAATGTTAACCTATCTATAAAATTTTTAGTCTCTCAATTTAAATTGGATTAAATTTTGCTAATCAAATAAGTACCTTATTTTTACTAAAAAATAATCATATTTATTTACTAAGTAAATTAGAAAATGTTTAATTATTTAATTACTGCTAGAATAAGCAAATTTAATCATATAGAAATCGTATTTGTTCTAGCGAAATTTTTCTATTAAAACAAAATAACTTGTTACAAATTTTAATGTATTCCCTTGATCGAGCGCGTCTAGGCGCAGTTCTCAAGGTCGAAAGCGAGGGTAGAAGATTGGAGTCAAAAATAATTTTATTTGTTTTATTTTGTGTATATAATAAATAATTTAGCCATCTGTACATTTGTTACAGTTTAATTAGTCAAAAACTGCTATCAATTACTCAATATCTACTAATAATAAAAAATAGTCATATTTACTTACTAAATGAAGTAATGAATGTTTAATTGTTTAATTATTGTTAAAGTAAGCAAACCTAACCATATTAAAAAGTTTTTTGATTTAACGAAATT